CCCCAAAACCCCAAAACCCCAAAACCCCAAAACCCCAAAACCCCGATTTGACTCAAAATAAATGAATTAAATATAATTTGACATAGACTAGACTCTACTTAGGAGTTCCATTGAGATTAAAACTCTTATAAAACCCTTAAATAAACCCTATTCCCACATCTCTAATCTCTTACCCTGTAGAAACAAGTCAGGCAGGCCCACAAAATAAGGTTGCCACTAAAGCTAGTGGGCAAGCTTAACCCCCTTGTGCAGGCTAGGAAAGCCATTGGGCGACTTGTGCTAATTTTAGGGTATTTTAACTGTGGAGAGCAGTGGCGAGATTTTGAGAGCAGGTAGGATGAGGGTGAGAATTAGGTGAGGAGAGGAGTGGGAAGGGGACGTTTTTGGGGGTAGGGATTGGGATTTGGAGTATGAGGGTGGTGGAGTTGAGGTTAGAGGTAGATTTTAGAGAGGATCTGTAATTAAGGGGATTTTTGGGGTTAGAAATGATTTTTTTGTCATTTTTGAGGTGGGAATTATCAATTAAGCCTTAATTTATTAAAGGATACTATAACTGATAATGGAGATATTAATTATAATGAAATTGAGGTGAGAAGAAATTTCAGAATGATTATTTTAAGATAAGCAACAAATGAAGTTCGAGAAGGAAATTTATTTTTATGATCTAAATTAATTTAATAGATCTTATCCATAAAGAGTCACTCAATAATTATAGGTCCAGTTTTACTAAGAAATCAAGAGTTTATCATTAAGGCATTATTATAGCACATAATGTTTTATTTGGTTTGCACACCTAAATGAAACATATAAAGCAAAGAAGTATTGAGTCATAAACTTATATTAGATGGATGTACATTTTTATCTTCACAAATTAATTATACTAAGGATACTTTTTAGCCTAAAATCTAAAGTCAAGTTAGTTATTTTCGCATGTTGCTCTGTAAGGTCTTATCGAAACTCCTTAGAGTCTTTCTCCAATCTTCTTTATCTCTCTTATTTTTCAAAAAGATATCAAAGTTTTACTAAGATATTAAAGTTTTACAACCTAACCATAAATTTCTTGCTTAAATTGATAATTAAAATTGTTGAAAAGAAATTTAATCTATCTCATCTTCAAGTTTTATTGTAATTAAACTCATCATGCCAATCCACTGTTATATTTGAGAATATGATTTATTATTAGTTAAACCTATCGGGGTTTTGGGGTTTTGGGGTTTTGGGG